GCTTGTTTGAAGAACCTTTCATCGAAAGAGAAATGGTTCCCTTTCAAATATTCAAACGGTTACTAACTGTCTAACAGAATTACCTGTGGGCTTACTAAGATTCTTAAGTAAGTCATGAGTTACAAGATGCTTACCGACTATTTTAATAGTAACATCGAAAGAAATATCAAGAGTAAGTCTTTAACGTAGTGGCTAATTATAATGCTCCCCTCAGAAGGTTTAAACTGTGACAGTTTCTTGCAAAAATATTGAGAACTTTTGGTGTAGGATGGGTTTGTTACTGTCACGGTGCAAATGAAAATAAAGTCTCTAACCTCATCGATAGCCTCTTCTTCGAAATCTATCGAAAGAGAAAATAATTAGGTCTTCTTTTTCTTGATATCTTGATAATTAACTCTGGTAATTGCTATAAAATTAAAGTTTCTCATAAACCAGCTAACTCTAATAAATATCTAAACTTTGACTCGCATAACCATTCAAATGACAAAACTTCTGTAATTATAACGTGAATAAACAGAGAGAGGAATTAAACATTTTAAGGCAATCTTATATAATAAAATAAACATCCTCTTAAGCCCGCTAATAAAATCATAAACGGTAAAGTAAATTACTTGCAATTCACTTGTAATAGCAGGAGTGCAAAAATTGACACTTTAGATAATAAGCGTTACATATTCCAAGCTTATCATAAAAAACTCTAATGAAAAGTCTCAAAGATTATTAGCACTACACTTAAATAAATGCAATAATAATGCTATGCATAGAAGCTGAAATTAACACAATACGTTGCTAAAAAATTCACGTGAGAATAGCAACTCTTTTGAATGAGTTTACAAATTATCGTGTAGTTGCGGGAAATATTACGCAGGCAAAATATAGAACATCGTCACTCATCACTCAAAAATCAAAGACCCACCTATCAAGCTGGAAAAGATGTTTTGCCGCAGATGAACGCTATGGAAACGCTGTAACAAAGATCTCGGGAAGAAAACAAATCCTTGCCTCTAGCCAGGTGAAATACCGTTGCGAACAGAACTTTGGGATTGGGAAACATACAGCTGAGAAAGGTCACGCTCTGACCAATGGTCAGATTGCACCAATACCATTAAAGAAAGAAACTGGCTGAAACGATGAATCAAGAAGGCTTTAATTATCCAGTCTTGCGACAGTGTCAACCGGAACAAAGACATAACTTTGTACAGAATAGATAAACCTTGTTGCGCTATTAATTAAGCAGCGGTATGGACAAAATCTCACCTTTCGGTGACAGATGTTACAACAGCTACGGACCACAGAAAGAACTTCTGGAATCAACCCGTCCCTGTGCAGTTTGAAGACAGCCAGTGACGAGCCGAAAAGTCAGTACTGGTTATTCACTCGATTAACCAAATTATTCGTGTTGGGTATAAATAAACTACGTGTTTATACAGTTTTCAATATGATCACAAACGCAGGAACGAAATACTCAATCTTCAGATCTACAGTAAAATGATGTGTAATGTACTGCTATTATCATGATAATGTCATAAATGATTGTGTAATTGGCTCCTCCTTCAAATGAATCAAATATACCGACGACACTGTCAAATCCGGAGCAAGGAAATCGTTGAAAGACTAAGAAAGTTACGCGGATATCATCGGAAACGCATGCCAATATACTTATTCACCAATGGTCTCCTATTGAAACTGCAGAATTCATTTGTAAAATGCGAAATACGAAGAATTCAATCCTTCAAACGCTCTCCCCTCATTCTCCTGTTGTCAATAGTAGTCTAGTAACCTCACATCAAATTATGAAATACTTGAATGTCATCTTGCATGCACATTTCAGTCTCTTGCAACCGGATGTTGTAGGGCTTCGTTTATGTAAAGCGTCTGAGAAGTCTCCATGCACCACTAACATCAACACAAAATTTTCATCGCACGTACTCTCTTAGTATGTACAAATGCATCCTCACTCACTTTTACCGGACCTCCCAAGATGTGAGTTAATGAGGCTGAGGCGAGAATTGAGACAAACAATTTTTTCATACAGTCATCTATGATCTACTAAAGCAGGAGGTTAATTTAACGGTCTCTCACGACACTCACGTGGTAAGAATATACAAGGGACAAAGAGTCATCGATTGCGTGACACTCTCTCATAATGTCTTTCGCGAGCCTCGTTCGATTGATGTAAATGTGTTTATGCCAGAATAGAACTGTGTCGAAAGTCCAAAATCCCAGTTTCAGTGCGTATTCAGCGAAGTCTCATGAACGTTAAACAACAGTACTTAAAGTTGCTCAGTGTGACATAGTCTCCTTCCTGTTTGCCTACCTTATCTTTGCTTTGTAGTTCCCGATCCTTTGTTTAGCTTCAAGTGCTCGATTCTGTTCTCTGTTTTGTAACATGAGAAATGTACATAAGTCTCATGGATTTTTCAAATGCCGATACCAAACTTACAGGGCGAGAATGTACCACGTAAAGAAAGGAGATTTTCTGTTGTTTTACACTGATACTGCGGTAGTGTAAAGCTGATCGAGCGTTTATATCGGATTGTGCTGGAATATCTATTTTCATATACTATCGGTACAAAGTGAGGTAAAATCTCCTATCTTTATACGGTACGTTTTTGCACTGTAAATATAGCATCAGTATTTGAAAAATCCGACAATTGTATAAATATTGCGAGACACGAAATAGAGAACAGAATGTGAAATTTACCGGCGATACTGGAAGCTTCAACATTGGGGTCATATTTTGTTTCGTTTTGCTCCTGTGTATTTTCTATTTTTGCTGAAAAATGGAATTCCTTATGAATCCCATTCAAGCAGTAAACTATTCAGTGATTGACTGATTCATTCATTCGTTCATTTTTGGTGACGGTTTGCGGCATCTAAAGACCTTCATGAATAAACGGTTTTACGTCGTCCTCTTTAAGGGTTGCCTTGAACCATGGTTCGGAATGCGATGATCATTAGCCGATGTTGAAACGGGCAATAAATCGATGCCTTCTTCCACAAGCACATAAGAACAAATTAATACCTTATTTAGTAACGCACTATAATGAGCTTTCATGTTGCTGATGCATGGCAGCATACCAAAATGCGACGTTAAAAACTACTCATAAACATCGTAAGCTGCTAAACATGCCTTAGTTCTTATTTGGTGATATCACTGGTTATATTATGCATAACATCGCATTTGTTTCATGCTAACGGTCGAATAGAAGGACATGAGTTAATAACCGGGCACAGGATCGAGTCGAGCTTGAGGAACAAGACGTAACTGCCATTGTGATATGTCTTTCCTGCAGTAGTGAGACCTTTATGCATACTAATAGTCGCTATTCGTCGTCGATGAGGATATTTTAATCTACAGGGCACAGTCGATGCCATCGCCAATATTTCTCACAACCTCAACTGCGTCCACTATTGAGACAAGGAGCAGAAGACCCCCACCCCCGCCCCGGCGACACGTGTGAGGCAAAAAGCGAAGCACTGAATGCAGACATTGACGGAGAAAAAAATCTTTCGAATCTGACGGGATTTTCGTTACACATCTGTCATAGCCTCGATCGGCGGCGGTCAACTAGGAGGTGTTCGATGGGATGGCGGACGTCGGAATCGGACCGACCAAAAACGGAGCTGTTTGGTAATTTGCAAGAAATTTTTTTTTAAAAATAAAATTAATTACCTCCGGCGGTTTGTGGTCGGTTTCTTCCAAGCAGTCCGAACAGCCGAAATACTTGAAGTTGTTCGACGTCGGTCGCGGCGTATCCAGCAGTCGTTCGAAGGGCGTGCCGTAGAAAACGTTCGATCGTTCCTCGCGGTGCAGGTTCGGCAGGTTGTAGCCATGTGAGGCGAACACGTTGTGAACACGGGTCAGCAGACGGTTCCTGACGAACGCGGACAGGGCGCGATAAATGAAGTTGACCGTGCGAGCGACGAACCTCAGCTGGCCCACCTCCTTTGAGAAGATCGACGGCACGTACGCCGGGTTGGCCAGCACGCCCGCGTAGTCGGCGTACTGTTCGACGATCGGGTAGTTGGACATGTAGACGCGAGGCACGGCCAGCAGCGCCGACATGGCCAGACCGCACTCGTTGAGGATACAGTCGACGACCAGCAGGTCGAGCTTCAGTCGCATCAGGCTGCGCATGAACCTGTGGTCGTTCAGGGCACCGTGGCACGCTTGGAAGTGCACGTCGTAGAAGCTCATGAAAAAGCGCAGGTTCTTCAGCTTGGACAACTTGCCTGCCGAGATCGGGATGGTGTCCAGCCACATGCGGTTCTGCAGACGTCGTAGCCACCGGGACGACTCGGTCGACTCGTGCTGGTACTGCAGCACCGAGAAGTTGCCGTTGTGATAGATGGTGCTGTTAATGTTGAACAGGCGCATGTCGATCACGGTCACCTTGTAACCACTGTTGGCCAGCTGTTTGGCCAGGTCACTGGTCAGCGCGTCGTGGCTGTACCAGCCACCGTTGCTGAACAGACCGATGTGGTACGGACGATTCCTGACCGCGGTCGCCGCCGGCCGATGCCAGACCACGCAAATCAGCATCGTCGTCGTCAGGTACAGTGCCATCGTTCGTGAGGGGCTCATGGCGCCAAGAAAAACTGACCAAAGTGTTCGATCATCCAAAACTTTCCTCGACGACGGTCATCACGTCACCCTTTCTTTAGCATGTGCTCGTTCGGGCAAAACGAAAGTGCATGTGAGACAATGTGTCGGCTGCTTTCGCTGTTTCGGTAATGGATGCAATATGACTTGCACTGCTCTGCTGAACGACAAGTTGCAACCGGCAATCGTTTAGCACAATGCTTGCAAATTATGAATATATATGTATATATGAATGTATGACCGGTTAACCCGCGCGTTAAATAGTTAAACGGCGCACGACT